TCCTCTTCTCCATTTTTTTCCCTGAATATCTGGACCAGGAATAAGGAAAAAMAGAGCAAGAATAGTGATGAACAGTCAAGAGGTTTGTTCAACACTCTTCTCAAAATAGATCACAGAGGCGTGCACACGCACCCACGACCTTGGTCAAGTGCTGGTGTGCATGTTCTAGGTACACAGACTGCTGAATTCACCAGAAGCATKCAGGTCAGGACTAGGAACTATGGGCAAGAGTAAGACACACACCTTTTATTCACCCTGGAAACTCTACCAGCACCTCCTCTGCTCCCAGCTCTCACAGAAAGAGCAACAGCTTAAAAAAAAAAAAAAAAAAAGAGTCTATTATGTTCTTTCTTTCATAGGCTATTTAGCTTCACCCCAGAACATCCCAATGTATTCATTTTGGATATTATTGCAAGCATTTCTGCCAAAGAGTTCAGATGCAATATTACTTTCATGTTTAAAGGTGAGGGCAGGGAAGAAATCCCTCAATGAGAAGAGTCCCCAGAGGAACTTGGGAATATTGCTAAGCCCCTATAGACCAGAGAGCACATTCAGTGAGTATGGGGGGATACTGAGTGGACAGGAGCAGAGTCTCTCTGAGGGTGTGATAAAGAGAAGGCATACCTGTCATTGGGTGAGTTGTAGACATGGGGAGAGAGGCTCCTTAAGATGATCCTGCAGCTCATCCCAGCAGTGCCTCAGTGTAGTGCTTGACCRGATCTGACTAGCAGCAAGGCCTTCTTGGAGATTGCTGGGGCAGCTTCCTGGGTACCACCAGACTCCAGTTGGATATTCCTAAATTAATACCCCTCCATTCATCTCTGGGGACTCACAGGTATGGAGGGGAAGGGACTGATATGGTAGAACCACAGATATAATCACAGGACTAAAGACTCAGACAAGACCTGGAACAGAGGATTCCAAAAWGAACAGGTAGAGAGCCTGCTGCTTGAGAACTTTCTTAGCACAGTGACTGGGGTCAGAAAGGTTCCAGTTATMGCTTTTTCCCACCAATACATTCATTTGTTTAATATTAAATAAAAGACATTATATAGACACTGTGCCTGGTGCTAACAGCATACAAAGAGATGGAAAGAGCCACAAGATGGATGCAGAAGGAAACAGGCTGGAGAAACAGAGCAGCTCTGTYGCTTGCTTGGGAGGGTAAGAGAATGCATCTCAGACGCATTGATAATTAGGTCTTGAAGTAAGAGTAAGAGCTAACAAGCTGAGGAAGGGCCAGARGAGGGGAGTGTGCTGATGTTTAAAATGCAAAAGCTGGATGCATAGTGCTGGGTTCAATTGCTAGATCAATCATTTACCAGATGGAAAAACCTCAGTCACATTCTAAACTCCCTGGCCCTTAACTTCCTCATCTATAAAATGGGAATAAGTCCCCTCATCTCATAAAGAGAACTAAACAAGGGAAGAGCTGTAAAGCTTTTGGCACAGTGCCAGCCCAAAGTAATCACCTGTAACATGTAAGCAGCTATGGTTATTCTTGAGCCCATTTATTCTTGTTCTGAGCCATTTGGAAAGTGGCAGAAAGGCACATAGAGAGATGCCAGGCTTCCAGGAAGCACAAAATTCAAGGAGGCTTTGGTTTATGGATCTTTAACAGCTCTTCAGTGAGGCAGAACATGTTGGCACAATGGAATGTTCTAGCACAGTGTAATATTCCTGTATCTTGGCTTATAAAATAGAAAGAAAAGTGTCTCCAATTCTCTGTTAGTTTCTGCTCATTCCAAAGCTGTGCACCATGAGTCACATCCAGCCTGTAACTCACAAACCCCAATGAGGAAGAACTGAAAYGCCAGCCACCTGTCCCATCCTTCCACTCCCAGGACACAGCCCACCAAGGACTCAACACCTTCCTCTTGGGGCAAAGCCTCCCTGCCTCCAGCCACACTATCTTCATTTTTCTTGTCCCTGCCACACCTTGAAAAGAGAGAGAGGAGGAGGACAAGGGGAATTCCAGATTAGTTTAAACAAAACTCAGGGGAAATGACATTTGTTTTCACAAGGAGGAAATAAAGCCTTTTCAGTTACCGTTGCTAATCTTGGCTCKGCAACCCTCTTATGCTCAAATCATGAAGCCCTCAGGTGTGGAACTTCCCAGAGCTGAGGTGACCAGAAACTTCTGAGGCATCAGCTGCTGAGGAACTGGGAGCAAGTTCAGGACACAGGATCTTCTAGACTCAGGGMTGGCAAAGGTCTACTTCCAGAAGATTCTGGCTCCCATGGCTAGCACCYTCTCAGACAAGCCAGTGGATGGCAGAATACTTAATAAAGAAGTCCAAATATTTGAACTGTTTTACCTCAGACCTTTTGGCTTCATATCAACTCTCAGAAGTGTCCCTTTGCCCAGCTGCCCCCAAGTGCTTATCAGGTTGGCAGTTACTTGCAATTTCCAGCTCTGTTCATACTCGATGATGTCCTCTATGGACAAGGAAGGGTAGCCTTGCTGAGCCCCATTTGAAAGACAGGTTACACCCAGAGTTAGAGAGTCCCCTGTCACATGAAGGAGAAGCAGGTCACTTTATCACTTGCTGTCTCAACAACAACAAAAAAAGAACAGTGCTGGAGTTAGAAACTGCCCGATTTATCTTTAGTTAGAAGTGGTATATAAATAAATCCAGTAAATCTCAAGAGTTGGAGGAGACCCAACTGCAGAGAGTTAGGGAAGAAACTTTGGAAAAGGTCAACCCCAAGATTTCCTGTATGAAACTATCCCTGGGGCAAGAAAAAAAAGTCTTATAGGCAAATCAACTGTATTCCTTCTCTTCTCCCTTTTTCTAAAAGGGAGAAATTAAAAGGTCAATTTCTTTACTGCTCCTAATTGCAATGACTGTATCTTTTTCAATCTTAAAATACCCCCATTACTTTACCTTGTGGTTATAATCCTTTCACAAGCTCTTAAAAGAGCTGTTATGAGGCTTCAGTGAACTTTGAATTGTTCCGATTTCAGCACAGTTTGGAAGCCAAGAAGCTAAGAGCCGCCTCACAAAGTAGGAATGGAGGTTTCATAAAAGGATCCGACCTCAGACTTTCTCTACTTGACCCCATTGCACAGCTGAGCATTCAGTGCCATTATTTTTTTCTTTATATAATAAAAAGGGAAAGAGAATTATACTGATAATTATACTAATCTAACTCAAAAGGACTTCAGGAGCAAAGAAATAAATACATGAGTGTCCAGAAGTGTTTTACTCATTGCAATGGTTGAATGTGGTCAGTCTCCATAGAGACATCAAGAGCTAGTCTTTGGCTTTATGTTAGCAATGATCCCCTTTGGTTCTCCTTAAGAAATTATGAACCACTGAAAATATGGGTGCCTAATATAGCCTTCTTCCATCAAAAGCTTTTGGGGAGTTACTAAAGTGCTAATAAGTAGCTTTGCTTCTTAACTATGCTCTAAATCTTTTGGTGGAAGGGATAATGAAAAGAACGATAAATAAAAGCCATTCATATCAGGGGAAAAAAATAAAAGGATGGATGGAAAAACAACCTAGAATGATAAATCTCCAGAAATGAGGAGGAGTGCCACCACTTTTGAGACCTAATACGTGAGAGTCAGGAGTTGGCCTGGGATTGTGCATTTGGATAGTTGTGACATTTCATTCAATCCCCTTAAAGCTATGTGAGGTAAGTAGAACRCTCTCATTTCTCTCTTCATGCAGGTGAGTAATGCAAAAGCAGGTAGGGTTAAGTAAACAGTTATGGTCACACAGCTAGTTATGGTTGGACCACACATCAATCCACATGTCCGACTCCAAATCTCTTATGCTCCCATTCATTGGTTGAAGTAGTAAATGATTTCCCAGTGGACTGAAATAATCAGTGGGTCCCTAACACTAGYTTTAATACCAAACTGTTACTTGAAGTATTAGGGACAAGAGCCTGATTCTTGGAATTTCTAAGGTGGAATAAAACTGCAGTTTATACATTAGGCCAAAGCTCACACAAAAGGGGTATTGTGCTCTGGAGCAGTATTCAGAGGCAGTATGGTTATTCTTACAAGGCAATGTGCTCAAAGGATTTTTTTTTAACTGCCCATTAATAGTTGATTTTGGAACCAGATTTCAAACTACAGAATAAAGCATTCATGTTACTTTATAATTGTATCTGGTTACCTAAACAAACAACAAAAAAAATTGTGTTACTTACTAGGCTTGACGTTATTTTGTCCATCAAACTGGACTTTATTCAAATTTACTGTTTAAGGCTGAAAGCTGGACACCCTTCCCAAAAGGAAGTTCTACAAAACATTTTGATATGCTGGCATCATTCAAATGGGTGCATCTCATATCAAAGTGACCCTTTTAAAGTGGACACTAAAAATATAACTTCATGGTTTTGGTTTATTTAAAGAAACAATCAGATTACTTATAGTGACCCTTGAAGAAAACATCCTATCTTCCAATATCTCAAAAATGATGGAAGATGAGCCAGAGCCTATAAAAGAAGACATCAAGAGATTTAAAATCCACTGTCCCTGTGAACAACAACAGCAGTAGCTGACCACTGTCATTCTTAAAAAAATAATCAAATATAGCTGTATAYTGTTCTCTGAATTCCAAACTAACCAGAAGTTCTTAATAAATACCAAAATAATATAGACCATTTACCAAACTTCAGTTGGTATAAAAAAAAAAGTATTCTAGTAACAGAATTAATATCTTGAGTTTTGGGGGCTGGGGTTGTGACTCAGTGGTAGAGCACTTGCCTAGTATGTGTGAGCCACTGGGTCCAATCCTCAGCACCACATAAAAATAAATAAACAGAAATAAAGGTATTTTGTCCATCTACAACTGTCCATCTACAACTTCCCTGCAGAATGATTCAAGTAAATAACTCTTTTCCCTTCCAAAGGAAAAATGGAGTCAGGTAAGGGTGRATATTAGAGAGGAAAAATGGGGTCAGGTGAACTTGGGTATTAGCCACTGTGGTCATCATGTTCTCCCCTTTATTTTCTGTTCTCTGCCTTTCCTCTTTTGCAGGCAGCATTGCCGCCATTACAGTGACCGTCATTGCTGTGGTGTTGTTGGTGTTTGGGGTCGCAGCATATCTGAAGATCAGGTGAGATACACCTCAATCCTCTTTAAAAAGAAGATGATTCCATTTTGTGGGGCTCCAGGCCAAGAACTGTTTCACTGAGGTCTTTTTTTCTTAATTGATGTCATAGTGCTCAGAAATACAGGCAGAGAGGTAAATGTGGTCAGTGTATCCCACACTAATCAAGAGCAGTCAGTCCAGTGTCTGAAACTTGGCAAAGCAAAGCTAATAAGCTAAAATATGCAGCCTGATGGTGTCATGGGATGAGATGAACCTGCAGTCTCTGCCTTTCAACCTTGTCACCACCCTAGGGGAGCCACATGCTCAGGGAGTGGGATCAGTGGTTCCTAAATATGATGCTCTGCACACTCATCTGTGGATTTGTACCTGATCTGTTAATGAGGTGTTCACCGGTTTTAGAGCAAAATGTGGAAAATGAAAGGAAAGTGTAGCATTTTCCATCACACACGTGTAATCCCAGCAGCTTGAGAGGCTGAGGCAGGAGGATCATGAGTTCAAAGCCAGCTTTAGCAAAAGCAAGCAACTCAGTGAGACTTTGTCTCTAAATAAAATACAAAATAGGGCTGGGGATGTTGCTCAGTGGTCAAGTGCCCTTGAGTTCAATCTCTAGTATGACCCCCTAAAACTGGGCTTTTTTGTTTCTCTAAGATTATGTCCTTATATTTTTAGTTCTAAAAAGTATTTTCTTTCACAAAATGAAGATGATCATCAATGACAGCTGAGATTTTACTTTCCATCTCTAACTGAAAGCTGCTGTACTGTGAATCCACCATTTTTTCTATTGCTCTGTGAAATCCAAAAGTCTCAACCCCACATTATTCACACTCTCTGAGTGTCCTTCCAGCTGTAAAACACCAGATGGCAAGTGGCAGTCTTATTTGCCAGTCTGTTCAGTGCCTGTAACAAGGGACAGAAGGACATGTTTTGCCATGGTGAACACAGCCACTCAGTGACCTCCAACACATTCCCCTCCCAGCCGAAGGTACCATCTTTATGGAAGCTGCTCTAACCCATCACTCCTTCCCTTACAATCCCCCAGGGGCTGGCTCCCTTCTGCATTCAGAATTGAATTTCAACTCTCACAGTGGCCCTAGAGGTCAGTCACAGACCTTCCCCTGCCTACCTGGTCTGGCTCAGCACACCTTTGCCTCCCTCCAGACCAGTGAGCTCTGCAGACTGGCTCCCTTCCAATTCTTAGGACTTACTGGGTTCTTGCCTTCCCAGGCCCTTGGCTCTCCCTAGCCCCCACCCTGAACTAGMTCTTTTCTCACATGGCAAATGTCAACTTGAATCTCTGACAGACTTCTTTCCAGTTTGATGCCTCTGTTATTTATTCTTTTTTTTTTTGGTGGGGGGGCATGATACCAGGGATTGAACTCAGGGGTATTTGACCACTGAGCCACACCCCCAGCCCTATTWTGTATTTTATATGAGACAGGGTCTCACTGAGTTGCTTAGTGCCTTGACATTGCTGAGGCTGGCTTTGAACTTGTGGTTCTCCTGTCTCAGCCTCCTGAGCCACTGGGATTACAGGCAAGTACCACCACACCTGGCTGTTATTTATTCTCATGGTATCTTTATTACTTTCATCCTGGCTGTTATCAATGTCTACTATTATGTTTTCTTTTTCATTTATTTGTTGGCTGGTTTATAGTTTCCTCTACAAAAATGTGTTCTCTTGACTTGAGGCAAGAATTCAAATTTTTCATAGCAATCCAACACTGGCTATAGGCAGGCAGACTGGAACAGTGATAAATATTCAGACTCCAGAAGCAGGGAGACTTTAGTTTGAATCCCAGCTTTACCACTTTCTAACAGTGTGGCCTGACCATGTTACAGTGAGTCACTAATCCTCATTTCCTTCTCCTGTGAAATAAGGTTACTACCTGGTAGCATTATTGAGAGAATAATGGATATTGTTTCCCAAGTACATAACACTGCCACCAACATCATCATCACCATCAATATCATAGCAGTGAACTGTGAGGAAACATAAGCATAGACAGAAAGATAGATAGACAGACAGACAGACAGACAGACACAGACAGATGGATGTTGAGCATCAGCCATGGGCTGGGCATTTCTTTAAACACTGACCACTTGACTGATGAGACACAGTCCTGCCATCATAAAACTTACTGCACTTAGGAAATGTTATTAGCAGGCCATTACAAACCTGTTCTAATGATGGCTGATTAAAATTACATAAAATGTTATTTTAAACTATCTTTCCCCAATGCCCTAACGCCAGATAAATTCAATGAAAATATATATATATGTGTGTGTGTACATATGTGTGTGTGTATATGTGTGTATGTATGTATGTATGTATGTGTATATATATATGTATATATATATATTCAGTTGTAGATGGACACATTCCTTTTTATTTTATTTATTTATTTATTTTTATGTGGTGCTGAGAATTGAACCCAGTGCCTCACACATGCTAGCCACAACCCCAGCCCCTCAATGAATTATTAAATTGAATTAATCATTGTTTCTTTCCCCCATGTAGGTTCTCTCTCCTAAAAATAGAAAGGTCCACATGGTTTAAATATAAGGTTGCTGTTTATCTATTGTACTACTTAAGTGTGTCACTATAAACTTAAGGATGGATAATCACACCCCTGGTTTGGAAACCCCCTAAGRAAACCCCCTTTCTGTGCCTCTGTTAATTAATTTGGCAAGATGATAACATAGGGAGATTAATAGTTCTCATGAATCTTAAGGCTATGCTAAACCCCTTTCAAGTGTTATTTTGTCAGATTCTTGGAAAACCCCACTAAGCATTCATCAAAAATATAGTTGGCTTCATTGATGCATATGTGCTGTATGTGGTGTGTGTGTATGTGTGTGTGTGTGTGTGTGTGTGCATGCACACGTGCGCATGCAAGTGTGCACAAGGTTAGGCTTTACCTTGGCTGAAAGTCTATTCTTTTTCTATCCTCCCAGAATTCTGAGGAAAATAACATGACAAGGGTTCTATTATCTGTGGTCTTTTAGCTCACTTGGCCAGAGCAACCAGTGACTGAGATCACAGCTCATAAGGGAACACATTAGCTTCTGGCTACAACCATGGGCTATGGCCCTGACCCAGCCAATGTCCCTGAAAATGCAAGGGGAGAGGCCACTGGAAAAGATGGCCTCACCACCAGGACACCATGCTCCTTGCACCACCTGCCAACYGTGGCTCAGTCCTTTTACCTTTTCCCCATCTCATTTCTTCCAAAGGCTTTGGTAGACTCATTAACCATGATTTTCACACTCCTGTTCTCCAGGGACCTTTGACCTCTAGTTTTGTTCCAGTGTCCCCTGCCAGGAGAACTGTATCTTTTTATAGCCTGAGCCACTTTAGGATATGGCTTATAAAACTGAACTGCCCTAAACCTACCAGAGCCCTCCTGTGCCAGTGATCCCTCTTTTAGCCAATAGCAGTATGGTGTAGACGGAGGAAAGTGAGCTTTGAAGTCAAGTTCAGTGCTGCACTGATCTTCCTACTGATTCCTTAGGTAGCCTTGGTCAAATTATCATCCCCCCCATCCTCGATTTTTACAAAGTACAAAAATAGAGCTAATAGTACATCTCTTTCAAGGTTGTTTTGAGGTGAAAGGAAGAAATGGATGTAGAGAACATGGAAAGACCATAGCATGAACCCTTGGGTCTTAATCACTCTGTGCCCAGTTTCTTTGTCTGTAAAAATGGCACTAGCACAATGACAATATATAACTCAGAATTGTTTAGTGCCTGGTGTGATGTGAGTGGCSGAAAGGCTGGCTGATGTTTTAGCGCAGCAACTGCTGTCAGAACCGCTTGGCACACAGGTGCTCTATGAGACGGAGGCTGCTAGTTGCGGCCCATGGGTTTGGAAGAATAACCCCATCCTTGTCATTTGCATTCAGTAGGTATCAGGATTTCAAAGAGGGGGAGAGGAGGAGGAGGAAGATAGCACAGCAGCCCGGTTTTCTAATTGTGTATTGTCGTGGCGGGCTTCCATGTTCCACTTTGGCAGAGGGGAGGTTCTGAAATGCCGGCGCAGTTAAATTCATGTTATATGTTCATAAATAGAAACGTTCTCTGGGAAGTGTTTATTCTAGGGCTTGTTTGCAACTTTAAAAGAAAGCAAAGTTCCTGCCTATCTGTTCCAGAAGGGTGTCTTTAATTAGCCATGATTAAAGAATGAGGTAAGTCCATTTTGTTGAAGTTGGTTCCAAAGTGTTTGTCCACAAGATAATCTCCCTGTGCAACAGATTAAGTCTGCCGTGGCCAGAGAAGTGGACCCTGCTATAATTAGGTATGCCGGTAACCCAGACAGACAGCACAGCTGTTTCCTTCACAGAACTAAATGTGATCCTGATTTAYAGACACAACAGGGCCTGGCCTTTAAGGCGTTTTTGTGAAAAGTCACCTGTTTTRCTTTATGCCTTATAGTGATTACATTTCATACCACTGATTCCTTCTGATTGTTGCTGTGCTTAGAAAGTAGGCCCAGCCAGCCACAAAAACGAAGATCTTCTAGAACGTGTTATCCACAGGCTTTTCTCAGATCAGCTTTTGGAGTTGTGTAGATGTAGTTTAATTTTCAAATTCAATAGCTCTCAAGGTTTTTTGTACCTGAGAATTAGGGGGAGACCTTATGAGACAACACAGTTTCCTGGGTCTTCTCTCCCTAGACTCCAATTCAGTAGATTCAGGCAAGGCCCATGCATCTGCATGTCTAACCAGCACACGGGGGATGCMGATGCTGCTGGCCCAGAGCGCACACTCTGGACTCCCCTGCTTCATCCTCATCTCCTAACACTCTTAACGGCCACTGTGCTGTTGGGTTTCCCAGAAAACAGCCCTATTGTTTCATGCCTCTGTAACTACGGACATGCTGTCCCATCTGTCAGAGGTATTTGATTCACCCCTTTGATCTGTCTGATTCCAAGTTGTCTGGAAACCTCTTCTGGCCTCCTTGGTTCCACTTGCTTCCCTGTTCTTGAACCCGTGCATTCTCTGCC